AAGCAAATTTGTACATCAATATTAATTAATCATCAATCAGAAATCGAGGTAGAGTTTTTTTTTATCATTTCATCTCGATTTTTAATTTATTTTAGGAATTTAAATTTTTTAATAACTACCAAAAAGAATCTTGTCTTACAACTAATTTCAATTAAATCAAAACAAAATTTGATTATTTTTAATGAAGAATTCTTAAGAAATTCCTAGAATATATCAAAACATATTTTATTCAATAATAAGTCAAATATAAAAAAAAAAACATATTTTTCAAAGAGTAAAATGTTAATTATTTCAAATCGTTTTTGTTTCTTTTTTTTGAAAATAGTCAAATTTAAAAAAAAACCATTTAATTATCGATATTTAAATAAAAATCGGATATCTTTTTTCGGATGTGAAATATCAATTCGATGTTTTTCTTGTTTTTATTTAGGAATTTCCGTTTGACAATCATCAAATAAATAATTTACATATGGTGAAAAAATCCTAATAGAATTTTTGATAAGACATTTAGCAAATAATCTTCGTTGACACATACTTTTACCTAATCGAAATCGAAGAAAATCCTGAAGATCTTAACTAGTTTTATTTATAAATCGATCAAAAAATAAATTTGTCTAGATTTGGAAACTATTTTGAATTATTTTTATCTATGTTAGGATATAATACAATTATATGTTCATCGTTTAATATAAAGTATTCGCCCATCTTTTACAATAAATTCGACATTTTTCGAAGATCTTATCATTATCATTCGATTTGAATTTAATCAAAAAATTTTATTTATAATACTTTTCAAATAAACACAACGTGTGAAATTTTCAATTATTATTTCATTCTGAAAACAAAGTTCTTTTCAATCCTTTAAAAATATTCTAGATCAAATTCTATTTGTTAATCATTACCATAGTAAAAATGCTTTTTTTTTCACGTCAATAATTTTCTTTTTGAAAACCAATCAGGATAATTTATCATTAAATTAGTTCGATCTTGAATTGATTCATATTGATTATATTCATCACTGATATTTAAATAATAACGAGATTTTAACAGATATCCAAATAACAATCGATATATCTATTAATCAAGTTAAACATTATTCAATAATATAATCTTCATACAATCAACTTTATTTTTGTCACTACACAAAATAAATCAAAAAATGTCACTAAAAGAAAGAAATACTACAACTAAAATACGTCAACAGACCTGAACGCTTGAAAGAATAGATCATCACATTTTTGTTAAACTTTAAAAGACTTAATCCGATTCCAAGAAACTACAAGAGAGCTTTGATGATTGTAAAATCAGTTGTGTTCCTTGTTGGTGTCGGTTTTATTCATAATTGAATTAGTATTTTCTTTTCTGCTTAAAAGTACGTCGAAATCTATAAGGAAAACAATGATAGGATTTTTTTAAATATGATTATTAAATAAAAAATTTTCAATAAATTTCATAATGATAAATCTCGATAAGATCTAAATATGTATATATCATATGATCAAACAATATTTTAAGAGATTTTTCGATGATTAGTTTTCTAAATATGATATATCAAATATTGATATATCCAACAGATGTCAATTAATAATAAAGAAAAAAAAACGTTATGCCTCCTTATAGAATCAAATATCAAATAACTTAATAAAATCTCTGTTAAATAATCAATTATGAAGAGAATAAGATCTGAACAATCCTAAAAAGAAATAAATATTCTATATTTAAATCAAATCAATTGATTCGAAATGAACATGACTAAATAACGTTTTAGTTATTAAATTGAATTTAAAATTCTAATTTATTTCAAATAATCAACATTCAATTCATTTGTGTATTTTTTTTCAATTGATTGACCTAAAAAAAGTAAAACGAAACGAATTTCTAATATGAATCAGTTATAAAAAAAGTGATCCAAACGAAAAGATTAGTTTTGAAAATATATCTAGAATAAATTGAAATATTTGATTTTTAATAAGATTTATCCAATAAGGTAGATTAACTAGAAATATAATCGTTTGATTTAATAATTTAACTTGAAAAGTTTCTCCATATATTTGATCAGATTTCAGAACTTCTTAACAAAAAAAAAAACAAATTTTATTTCAATTATTTTAATCAATTCATTTATTTTTATTATTTCGATAGATCTTTTATCAATAATAAATAAATCAAATTTTTTCTCTTTTATTTTTATGTCAAATAAATCAATAGTCTATAAAAAAATTCCTAGGTTCTTTTTATCTAAAATCAACAAATTTTCAATTCTATTCAATATAAAGTATTTTCCCTATAGTTTTTCATATAAAGTATCACTACGATATATTTGACTTCCCGTTTATTTTTATTTTCTTCAATGTGTGATTAAAATCTTAGAAGAAATAAACTTGTTTAATGACCAACATTGTTTTTTCTATGAAAATAAATGTTTAACATTAATTCGTTTATTTTATTAAATTAATTGAAAAGATTTTAAAAAGTCTTTTTTTTTTTAAAGAACAATTCCTTTTTTTTTTATCAATCCTTTATTTTCGATGGAAATACAAAATTTTACTTACAAATTATTTTTAATATTAAATTGAAAGAATATTTCTTAATGCCACAAGTCGTTTTATTAATTGAAAAATTCAATTTTTCTAATAGAAGTTTTTGAAAATAGTTGTGATCTTAATAAAAATACTCATATTTTCACTTGAAAACAAGTTAGAAGAAGAAAATTTTCAAATCAAATCGACTAAATTACATTTTTATTAATCAATTCGTTTTTTTTTCAACTAATTGCTATTCGTTTAGCTCGTATTCTATCATCAATATAATTTTCTCATTAGAAAATTACTTTATTTAGTTTCGATCGATTGTGCAGCATCATATGATGCTCAGATTCGATTTCCTTCCTTGAGAATATATCAATTCCCATCTCTTTCTTCATCCATAGTAGAACAGCTGTTCTAAGAATGAATAAACAAATGAAAATAGAACACAAAGCGTCATCTATGTTAGATATTTAATATCTAATTGGATATATTTTTCCATATATCAGTCTGTGTTATAAACAAACAATAAATTGTTTATCATTTTTAAAATCAGTAAAAAAAAGTAAAAATGCCCGAATATAGATATAAAGTATTTCTAAATGCTCGTTATGAGGTTGTCTGGCAAAAACTTTTAGACAAAATCAAACATCCAGAAAAATATGTTCAAGGAATTCGTCATGTTGAAATATTAGAAAATGATAGTGATCATGTTTTAAGAATTGTTCATTTTGAAAATGATAAATGGGAACCATTAAAAGAATTAATTGTTGCTGATAAAACAGCTGGAATTATTGTTTATCGTTTAGTTGATCATCCTTATTTTGAAGGTGAAACAATTAATATTTGTCGAACAACAAATCAAGTTTTTCACTCTGAATTAGAATATGAAATTAATTGGAAATTAAAAGATCAAAATGCTGCTGAATCAATTGAAGAAAAACATATTGCAGAACAAGCTTTAGAATTAGCTGCCAATGAAATGAAAAGAATTTCAGAAGAAGCTGAAGCTGCTTATCGTTAAATTTTCAATTTCATCATCAATTATTCATTTATTTCTCATTAAATGTTGAGTCATCTAGAAAATGCTTTGTACAACAATAAATTATTTAGTTATGTCTGTTCTTCTTTTTTTACTCAATTTTCTTTTATTATTTATTATTTAAAAGATTTTTATTCTATCACTAAAATTTTTTCAAAACAAAAAATCGTGTCGTCTTGAAACTTAATATAAACAAATTTTTTCTTTAGCAACGATAGAAACAAAATCGAATAAGAATATAAATGAAGAAATTAGTACACAGCATCAAATCGAAAATAAAAGAAAAAAAATTTAAACGATATTTTCATGTATTCATGAAAAAAAAGGGAAATAAAAAGTTTTGCTCAATTATTATAATAGGTCAAAATGAGTTAGACTATATGCTGGATGTTAAGTTTTACGAAATATGGTAACATAATAGACATAAGCAGTGTCCTAACTTGAAATAGACTCTTAAGACTAATTCAATCTTGAAAACCCGCTATAGATAAAATAACATCGTACTCTCTTAAATCAATTTCAGCCCAGATCGTGTGATGATGGTTGTACCTTTCTTATCGTAATCTCTTCTTTCCTTCTATCGCGATCCCAGAAGAGTCACTGATGAAACAACTATCGGAACAGAGTATTGACGTCTCCGATATGTCAATAGTATGAATAGATCAATATCAGGCACATTATCATTTGTGATGGTTGTTTAATCATTCTAGCAGCTATTGAGCGAAACAGAACAACTTGATAAAAACTCTGCTGGACATCTTCCGTAAATCAGATGCGGTCCAACTAAAAAACGTCGTAGAGAACTTAGAGACATGTCATTTTGTAGAGTACTATTTGCTTTATCATGACATGTGGAGAAAGCAAATTTTATGTTTGAATTGTAGTTGCTGAAAATCTTTAGGCTTGGTTTTTTAGAAACTCCCTAGTAGCCATGCTGTTTCTTACTATTCCTTATCAACTTAGTTTTTGCGAAACTTTTGAATGATATTGATATCAATAGTAGGTACACGGTCGTCGTTATAGATTATATAATACATTGCTATCCTGCATTTTCTCTGTTCGTAGGACAAGATTTTATTCGAAAAAATCCAACTGTGGCAGTTTTCCCAGCTTATTAATTTTGTAACTCATCTTTTTCAGAGATGGAGAGACGCAAGAAAAAATATTGTTTTTTCATGATCTGATAGTTTATGAAGTTCACTATAAGACATGTTCCCAGAATTTTTTAATTCGATATTTTATTTATTTTTTACAATCTTTCTACCAATAACCACTTCAATGAGCAAGAGGGGATAAAGGTTTGACGCTACCAGAGCAAGTTCTCCTCAGTCATGGATGCTCTTTTGAGTGCCACTTTTGACTCATCATTCATGTGTCTCACTTGTGAGTAACTACTTTTGAATTTTATTCAAAAACAAATCTTATATATATTTTTAAAAAAATTATCGGTATAAATTATAATGCACCGGTTCTAATTCTTGGTATGCAATTATTCGAGAGTAGAACAGAGAAAGAAATTGCTCACTTAGCAGCGATCAACAAAACGAAGTTCAGATTGAAATCTAATTTTCCAATTTTTCGATTACTAGCACCGCACCACTACTTCTCAATATCCTATAATGGTGTAAAACTCAGAAATGGAAAGTGTGTCTCTCAAGTGTTTAGATCATCGGCAAGTGGACAATTAAGTAAAAGTGTTCATCTCTGTTTAGTTTTCTGCAGCTTTATTTCCACAAAGAAACTGTAATGACACTATCGACTCATTCGATGTTTTTTATGTCTCTTTTCAGTCGAAGATGCTTATTGATTCCTGATTAACTGATTAGTACATGGATAGTACGAATTCTATACATTTTCTTTTTAAAGGCAGGTCGTCGACACTCTGAAAGAACTCAATTCTCGACTCGTACTTTCAATATCTCTTGTTTCCGTTCTTTTGTAAACCATTCACTTAACTATGTTATCAATTTACTCGAATTAGATTCTCACAAAAAAAACGATATCCGAACGTTAAACACAATTCATACGTTTTCTACTCAGAAGCATTTTGAGAAGATAGTAAATCTGTGTAGACATAAAAATTCTTTCCACGTTGTTTTCTTAACTTCGATTAACTCTGGTCAAGTTTTATTCCAGAAAACATAGATTTTGATGATTATTAGTTGTCTCAGTGTCCTGCTTTCCCAATTGTTCTCTAAACCTTTTTATATCGTACTTTATGACTCATTATCATTTGGATGACATGATCTCTGTACAACACCATAGCCCGATGTAAAACCGTTTAGATTGTAATTAGTTTCCATTTATTAAGCGTACAGTACTTCGTAAGTAGTTGGATACAAAAAAACTAAAGATACGAACAATTTTTTTTCTGAAAGTTCATGTCCGCTTCAGCTGCACTAAAGATGTACGCTTGGGCAAATAAACACTATGTAGAACTTGAAAAATCTAGCAGATGAATTGTCACTACACTACTTGTACTAAACATAAGAAAATCAATCTATTAGCTTATCTTTGTATGTCTCTCAGTCATTTTTTTTTCTCCTTTGAGATCTATCAGTATTCCACTGATTACTTGATTAAACATTTTGTTGTCTCTAGGCTAAAAACAGTAAATACAAATTGAAAATGACTCGTCAATTCTTTTCAACAAATCTCACTTAAATGGTCATTTCTTCGGCATTCTCATTCGAACTTTTAGTTGACTTTAATTAGTGTTTCTTTTCGATTGCTCAGCTACGATTGACAAATCAGATAACGTAGTGAAACATCAACAATTTTTGTATTTTTCCATTTAGAAAAGAGAACTTTCAATTTCTAGTTTCTATTGCTTGTTCGGTCTATGAACGATGATTCAAGCTATTCTGACATGAATACTTCATGTGAACTTTTCTTTCCAAAACTCGATTCTTATTACTTTCAGTTTACCAAGGAGATAACGGTGCCTCACTATATAGGTTTTCCGAAATCGAGAATAGAGAGCATTAGACTACATGACAGTTCGGTAAGATTTAAAAGCTAATATCGTTTTTTCGAAAATCGACAAAAACATATGATTACGTATTTTGAACACTAGGTTAACAATAGCAATTCAAAAAAAAAGTTTTTAGCCATTTTTATCGCGTGATCTTAACACTAGAGAAGGCATGTAACGTTTCGAAAAACCAGTAGTAAATATGTAGATAATATGATAACCCAAGGCAAATCAGCTGACTAATATGTTGACAGCCGATTTGCATTCGTATATCGAGAAAATGAACTTCATGGCGTTTTGCGTACGCATTAGTCTATATCTTTTATATAAACGTTCAGTGTTTCTGGATATAAGGGAATATTGATTGGAAGTAGGGGTGTTGAAATTAAGCCTTCAAGCAATCAGGTATCAGTGACAGCCTTTGGTTGACGAAGTCGCTTAATGAAGATTGATATTTAAATGTCATTATTCAGCCGAGGTTCACTGGTAACAACAGAGATAAACATTCAAGAAATTAATTCAAAAAAGCCTACTCTTCTAAGTCTAGTTTGATTTCTTCAAACCGACTACCTGCCGATAGCGTAATGCTCGACGCATATTTAGTCCATTTTATAATCAGATTGATCGGAAAAAAACAGGTTGTAAGTCACACATTGCATAAACATCAGGATGTTCCAAGTATAGTGAATATACGTTAATGTAGTTATCTAAAATTAACTATGATTTAAAGATTAAACAAACAGTAACAGTACCTTTGTTTTCGGGGATGTAGTTCGAAGAATGACTGTATGACGTACTCCATATCGATGCCATTATTGTAAATATTGATGTTGTGCTATACATATTTCCAAATGGTTTGATTAGGACCGTCTATTCTAGATATGATGAGAATCAGACCAGTTTGAACTAAACTAGATGTTATATTTACTTTTCAAATAAAATATCTAAATGACAGTATACATCGGCAGCATAAAGAGGTTGATCGTCTTTGTCTTCTTTTGAATGCCAAAATGTTTTGTTAACCTCAATCTATAGTATTTTGCATCGTTTGTTCTTATATATTTATGCATTATACCTCTTGTGTATAGATAGATCATTAGTTCCAAAAGTCGTAGAAAACAAGGAACGATTTCTTTAAATCAAAATTTAAAATCACTTTACATGGCGTTTTTCTTTTTTATTATGCTCCATTAAACATAAATTTTTATGTTAATAGTTCATTAGAATTAAGAAGGAAATTAATCTACTTGAAATTTTGCACAATACTCATGATTTACTTGACTGAATTATAACGAAAAATATTTTCATTACCATGATCATTGGTCATTTGCTGCTTTTGTGGTGGCTGCTGATTTAATTTAATGACAATCGAAAATTGTTCCTTTGCTAATAATTTTTCTTGTTCAACTAAAAGTACTATAGGATTTACAAACATAAATACATTTAATTATTGAAGATGGGCTAAGAAATATGGACTACTTTAATAGACTATGGTCGAATGACGCATAGATTCACCCAAAATTTTTCTACGAGCATATGATCTGAATGTCGTTTTATCTATGCAATATCAATAGAACCAAAAGAATAACAATCAGTCGATACTAATACAAATACAGCCTTACCCGGCATTAATATCTGAACATTACTTACAATGGAGGTTCGTGTACTGTAACCGAGCTAGACTTGATATTTTAGCATCAAAAGATAGCTCTCATCGTCAAACTAACAAGGTTAAAATATTAACGGCTGTTGACTTGTCTAGAGGGAGATATTCGATTTTTACTGTATTTACAGTATATGTAGGATGGCTACAATTGAAAATTTTGATAGAATTTATTTTTCTTTTTTCATGATGATTGGATAGAGCTCGTCGAGTTGCATTAGAAAAAGTATGTTTCAAATTTCAAAAAGAGATTTTAAAAAATCTTGAACGAAGGATCCAACTTACTGTTATGTTCAAATATAAGAAAAAATACATGCAAAATTTCGATGGTTCGCAAATTTTTTTAAAACCTCTTTTTAAAATTTGAAACACATTTTATCCAATGCAACTTGACGAGCTCTATCTAACCATCATGAAAAAAGAAAAATAAATTCTATCAAAATTTTCAATTGTAGCCATCCTACATACTGTAAATACAGTAAAAATCGAATATCTCCCTCTAGACAAGTCAACAGCCGCTAATATTTTAACCTTGTTAGTTTGACGATGAGAGCTATCTTTTGATGCTAAAATATCAAGTCTAGCTCAGTTACAGTACACGAACCTCCATTGTTAGTAAATTTTTTTGAGATAACACATTTGATCTATTTGAACTGAATTCGAAAGCAAGCATAAAAACGTTTTACATCGAAATATATTATAGCGGTCACAATAGTCCTGTTCTCTCGATCTCTGCGTTCTGTTATCATGTGAATTTAATATTTACGATATGTGACCGAATAATTTTCACTCTAATTGGAGATCGATGCATTTAATAAAGTTAATTATACCGTGTCTTCACAAGAAAATATAATACTAAATCAAGCAATCTGATTGGTATTGCTACGTGAAAACACCAACCAGATTGCTTATTATGTTGTTTAATTGGTTAATATTTATTATTTAAAATTTAATCATTAAATATAACAAAATAACTACATATTAATACATCAAGCATTATTGATTTTTTTCGTATTTTGTATAAAATATTTTCAATAAATTGAGTCAATTGAAAGTCGACGAAAATTTTTTTTTTAACAATTTCATTAGGAAAGATTTAACTGATATAATTAATTTTATTCTTGAAATATATTGTTATGATCTACAATGGCGATTGAAAAAAAATACACAGCATCAGGTAATTTATCTGAATATATTTTCAAATCATATTTTATCAATGACCAATTAAACCAACGAAAACGCATTCGAAATTGAGCTAAGACATCTTGGTTTTCATCATAAAATTTATGATTGATTGAAAAAAGTTTCTTTTTCATTAGGAAATTTTGACCATCCCATTCAATAAAATATTTTTCAATAAATACATTAAAGGTTTTCTTAATTGTTCCATTTGTCCATTGATTTGTTGTATAATTAAATATATCATAAGTTACATTTAATGTTTCATTTCTCCATTGACCTTGAAGATAAGCCACAATGTCTTTTGATGGATAAGCAATAAGTAGAAGAACATCATTTTCAGTATGTGAACTTCTTAAACGATATAAATATTCTTTTCCATTTGAATTTAATATTGACAATCGACTTAGACCATTTTTATCCATATCAGTATCTCGTATTAATAGGTAGCTACGAATTACTTTTTTTGATTCAATAAATTTTATTAGAATAATACATAATAATAACAAAAATAACTTCATCGTTATAATAATCAATATGTAAACGTGTTTTTCTCTCAGTAAGAGTAATATCTGTCTCTATCTATATTATATAGATGTCTATTTAGCATATGTCTATTTGACATTAACATTTTCATAACCTTTTAGTTAGATATTTTCTCCAGGTTTCCTGTAAACTCAATTAGCTCTTGGTATATGACACATTCGATATATTCTCAATTATATTCTTCAATATGTCAAACATCTATATCTGGTTTATCAACTATATCAGCACTTTAATAAATTTTCTGCCTAATTCTATTTATAATATAAAGAGAGTAAAAACAAATAGAGTATAACTCGATTGATGTATATCATGTTTTACATCAAATAAAGAAAACTTTATCAATCAAGATTTATCTTTCTTTCAAATGTCTTATACAAAATCATCGATAGATATGTTTATTTATGGAATCAGTAATGGAATGACTGACTGTGTGGGAGAGAAGGAAGTAGTTCTCCTTCTCCTTTTACGAGTTTCTACTTAAGCTTTCTCAGGTTTTGAGTGAATTGGCTAGTTAACTCTCTGATTTGACAGAGGTTTGGAAAATTCAATTAAATTCTGCAGGCAGTCAATAACTTTGTGGATATGATGATTGAGTTCTCAAAAAGATTCTAAAAATGATTCTCAAGAAAAATGTAATTGACTGTGTGTCTTGCGCGATGACTAAAATCTCGAAAGACATTTGAAAACTTTGTGATGTTTGCCAGCGAGATGAGAAATTGAATTTTTGAAAAATGAGTGTCAGCTGTAAGTTTCCAAATCCATAAATTGTTTCATTTTCAACAATTATCTCCAGCGTGATCGCCTTCGACGACAGAAATAGAAATAATCTTCTTCAGTAAACGTGAAAAAATGTTTGTTGCAGACGAGACCAAGAGAAGCTTATCATTTTCGGTAAGCAATAAATTGTTTTGAGCTCTGCTTGAATTAATCAGTATCTCTTCAAATACGGATTTTACATGACAAATTATTGGCAACAACAATATTTTCACGTTAGATTTACCATAGGAAAAAACATTGATGCTGCTCTTGATACGACAAGGAATCTTTCTGCTGCAACTTCAGTTTCGTCAAGAGTGACTATACCTTGTCAATAAAATCAATGGTCACATCCGATTAGTCTTAATAAAGATTCCACAAGGCAGAATATTTTTATTGAAAATAAAGTTGAAAGTTCAATGATTGATAGATTAAGGAAGAAAGTGCACATTTAGAAAGTCCAGCACTTTCCTGTGACTTACATGATTTTTTTCCGTCGAAAAATTTCATAATGATAATAATAGGCTTAAGAAAATAACTTAAGAATTAAAATGATAGATAGACATAAGAGTCATACTAATTAGTTCCAATCGATTTTTTTTATCATGGTAAGATTAATAGTTAAAAAAATAAATATTGTTTCTTTATAAAACTTGACTAAAGACTTTCGATGTCGATGAAAAAAATTTCTAATCGATTTTTAGCAATAGTTGAGTATGACTTATTTGATATAAGAGAATTTGATTAATTGAGATTTGTTCATCTATTATATTATTGAGTTACTTCATTAAACAAAACTTCCTCTTATTGAAAAAGGCATAGGCAATTATTTCGAAAATTTGATTAGAATTTATTCGACATCAATATCAAATGTCTTTAGTCAAGTTTTATATTAAAACATGTTTATTTTCGAATAATTTATTTTATCTTTATAAAAAAAAATTGTTTAAGATGTAGGAAAGTGCTTGAACTTGAATATGTTGATTTTCTTCGTTGAAATAGTCTGATTTTGTCAACAATCGAATAGTAAACAAACACGCCGAATATCAATCTAGATAAGTTAAGAATTATGAAAAACAAATTTCCTTTTATATAAAGATTATTTTTAGTCAATTGAACTTATTTTGTTTAGAATTCTATTTGAATTTTCTATTAAATTATTTATATCTCAGATTAGAATTTAAATAAATAAATTAAATTTATTGAAAATCTGAGTAATTAGATTTTATAATCTCTATTAGAGAATAGAATTGACTTGAATTCTTTCATATTTGACTGAACATACATATGTAGTTTTAGAGGATACAGAAAAAAAAGAATTTATTTCGAAAAACATAATCAATTATTTATCAGCTCATTTTAGTAAAACGAAATACATTTAAAAATTAAAATTCATTGCTAATTTATATTTTATCTTTGTCATCTCTATTTTAATAAACGGTTTTACGATAAAAATGGATAAATATTCATATTGAAATAAATATTGTTATTTTAAATGAGCTAAAATCTTCATTAGATTATATATAACAACATTCTATATTGACATAGTCAATATATTTCAAATAACTGAATAATTCTTATGATAAGAACAACGATCAGATTTAAAAACAAAGAAACTTGGACTTTTATTAATTATCGGTTATTGTTTTTCAAATAACTTTTTCTATCCGGAATTGAACATAGTAAAAAGAAGAAAATGAAACTGTTCGAAGTATTGTCAAACATTTCAAATTATCCTTTTTGACCATAAAAAGAACATGACTCTATTCGAATAAGTCCAACACAGTTTCGTCTTATCACATTTTAATAAGATATAATCAAGTTCGTTTAATGGAATCTATTCAAATAATATTACTTCAATTAGATAATCATATAAATAAGTTTCAATATGAAATTATCTTTATGAATAGATCATCTTGTCAATATTATTTTATGAAAATTTTGTACAATATATCTACATGTCATTATAGAATAGTTCTATTAATTAGAATTATCAATCTCATATTAATTATATATTCTTATAAATGATCAATTTTAGAAAAATTCGATAATTACCTATTTATTTTGTTCAATAGTTACGAATTGAAATTGTCCAAAGATATATTCATAATCATTGTCACATATTTAAATATGAAAAATTGTTATTTTTGTTTTTGTTCGAAACTGAAGACATTCTTAAAGAGATTCTCCTTACTTTTCAATTTATGTAAATACTAAATAAATCAGTTTGATACGATAAACATGTTATGAATCGATTGTTTCTGTATATGAAAATAATTATAGGTTGAACTAACTTGGATATCTATTCTCATTTGAATAAAATATCCTAATTTCCTCTATCTATAATGATTATCACTATCTTATTCTATATCTTCTAATCTTTGTATGGTTATCTTATATAATTAATTTTTTAGTTTTATTTAATTTAATTTGATCATCTGACTAATTAATAAATTAAATAAATAATAAAACTATTTTTAAAAAAATCTGATTTATATTCGTGAGAGAATCGGATTCTTATATTCGATAAAAAAAAACAAAATAATATTTAAATAAATAAAATTGATTGATTGGTTAATAATGATAAATATTTAAATTATTTTGAATTTATTTTTGATTGATTTATAGTATCTTATAATTCATTTTAAAAAAGTTAATATTGTTTTGTCTTAAAGAATTTCATTATTTAATGATCTTTATGAAAATCGTTCGAGATAAATCTCATTTATATCTTCATTTTCACATCGAATCAGATCCTGAAATAAAACTTATTCATTGATAAAATGCCAATAGAAAATCATCTCACAATAAAAATAATTATTTTCAACAAGTACTCTTTGTGTAAACGAGAAAATCTTATTCGATATAGATTTAATAGAAATATTAATCTATAATAAAAATATTTTGTACGAAATTGCATTGAGATTATATGAAAAAAAAGAAAACGAAGTTAATTATATTTAATAGCAGCCAGTAGATATATAACATCTATAGATGTGTTACTGATATCTTTGTTTTTCAATGTAATTCTTATAAGTACATTCTTACTTTAACAAAAATAAAACAAACGTTCATTGTTAATAACATCTTTCTGTTTTCTTTATCTATGATTGAAAGATAGAAATGTTTATTCCAGAGTTGCAAAATGTGTCGGTGTGCATGTCTTCGCTGTATGTCCATCCACTTGTCGATACTCGCCAAAAGGAACGATGACATCCTATTTTTACTTTTGATTATTTACAGTGGAATTCTTCAGCATTCGGATTTATGCTTGTTAGGAAATTTTTCATAATCCCTAGGTTTGTTCAACTTTGAATTCTTTATCGATTGACGTTTGGATCAGCTTTCTGTCATCTACCTACGTTGACTTATTTTAAATTTTAAAAAAGTAAAATTTTAAAAATTTGTCATTAAATTTAAAAATCTAAATTCGGTGTTAGAGACTTGGATTGTTTTTAAATCTTCGTCTTTCGAAGCTGAATCCGAACATAATACTAAAAAATCTTTTCTAGCTGTCAGTTTTTTTCGAAAACTCATTTTTTAATCATCTATAGCTAAAAAATACATGGTTTTCTAGAAAGCTAACTTTCGAGCATTTTAGAGGAAAGTTTCTCGAGAGAAAAAGAAAAAGCACCTAGAGAAACCCTTATAAACCAAATGACAACTCGATACGTTCAGCCATTCTCAAGATAGTTTTCTCATGTAATACGCCTGTTTATGTTTTATCTTTTTTATCTTTATTTAGATAAGCAATTTGAAGAAGTGAAATAATTAGTAAAAAGATTAATATTCATTTAAAAATAAATCTTCTTACTTGAAATCAATTAAAAGCTATATTAAATGATGTTTTACTCCCTTAATTGTTTTCAATAATCTCCAATGATTACTTCACCACGTGTCGTTTTGACGTTGTCAAAGTTTTCTAAAGAGAAAATAAATAAATCTTACATTAGAAAAATTCTATAATCATCTTGTTATTTTATTCGAAATTGACGAAGTCGATGCGTCCTGAAATATATTTCTAGAGAAGATTTTCATTTGAAATTCTTTACTTTGATTTTTCGAGAAAATTAATGTCATATAGATAAATCTCAATAATTGTCTTTGTCTCTGGCTCAGTTTT